GTTGAACTGCAGGCAGCTGCTGCACAGGCAACTTAGGGGAGCGGGGAGCTGATAGGGGGCTGTAGGTCCACCCTGGTTCCAAGCCCCCACCAGCTAGCTGCAACAGGCTGCTCTTCCTGCAAGCAGTAGACAAAGCAGGTGGCTGCCAAAGGACATTAGAAGGGAGCATTACACAACTTTAAACGAGCATGTTCCCTAATTGATCAGCAACGTAACAATGTTAACTGGGACCACTTTAAGTGAGGAGTTACTGTACTGAAACTTTAATTTAAAAAAAAAAAAAGGGCACCCTCATGTTTTTCATGCTCTGCTACATTCTTCTGTTCAATTTAGTCCCCCTGCAGAAGGCCTCCACACATAGAGATGTTCAGGAAATGGTTTTTCCAGCTCATTAAAATTTCTTAATTCTTTTTGAAATTTCCCATCCCACATTAGGACAAAGATGAAATCTTGAAAAATTTAATGAATCACAATTTTTTTAAAGTAGTTTTGATCAATTGAAATATTTTGAAATTATTGAAACAATGCTCAGATTTTTTTTACTAGTTACCTTAAATTTCTAAATGAAAAGTTGATCCAAACCCCACAACCAAATTTTTTCAGTTAAGAATGTCAAAACAAGACCTCTCCGCAATTTAAAAACTTCTTTCCAACCTTTTTTTGAGTTGAAAAATTAATTGAAACTGACTGTTTTCATGAAAACAGTTTCAACAAATTGGCATTTCCCAATGACAAAATGTTTTATTGAAAAATTCCCAACCAGCTCTATTTATAAGTCATTTATAAATATAGTACACATTCTTCCTGGTCAAAAAATGTCCAACTTAAAAGCCAAATGTTCTCCTATGTAACTGATTTCATAAACTACAATTAGACTATAGATATTTGTTAGAAGTGACAACATCTAGAAAAAAACAAACACGTTGTTGGTGTTGACTCCCCGAGGGTCCATTTGAAATGAGTGGAAGATATGACAACTAGTAACAGGATTTCAGCAAGAGAAATTGAGGACATCTTACAGGGTTTTTTCCAAGATAAGTCAGTTTGTGTTAATTCAGATAAGGTCCTACTTTTGCTCATCTTTGGGAAAGCTGCTTTCTTTCTGCAGCTGTGTCAGCTTTGTTTTTACCAAGCTGCCAAAATAGGCACATTTTATGAGTACCTCAACCATGATTTCTCTATTCTGCCTATCCTTCAAAAAGAAGCAAGTAACTGAAATGTGTGTCTAAACATCATAGAGGTGTTTACTCACCACCATTTACTATATGGTGATATTTTCTGATCCTCTGAATTCAGCACTAACAAAACGTAGGGTAAATGGCATACCAGATTAATGCTGTTGTGCTGGAAGAAGTTACTAACAGGGTAGCCTCTTTCAATATCTTTAATCACTGGTGCTGACTGTTTCTTGTGTTGCAACCTGTTACAAGAGAGAAGGTGGTTTGGGAAACTAGTCAAAATGAAGTGATGGAGATACAACCAACCATGGGCCATATACACTAAAGTTCTTACAGTAGGCCAAAATCTGCCTTGAAGCATGTATGAGTAATTCCTGTTGATTTCAGAAGCTATCACCTGCAACTATCATTCAGTATTTTGTCCTCAGATAAGACCATGGGAGTTTTGCATGAATAAGTACTGAATAAGAACTTCAGTATATGGCCCTAATTGCTTTCCCCCTCCCCATACACATTTCTATGGTGACAAAATGAATTTTTAGTTTTCTTGAGCAAGTTGTTTACATAGGTTGTATGGCAGGCACCATGTTTGAAAAGTACTTAGCCTGTCCAGGGCAGAACGTCTTTTACTGGGCTTACACACTGGAGCCCTGATCCCGATTGTGTCCTCTTGGCACAACCATCATATGCCTAACATGTTATGGATGCTACTGGGGGGGGGGAATAATGATAATATGCTTTAGAAGGACTTCTAAAGAGGAAGTCAAGTATCAGGGGGTAGCCGTGTTAGTCTGTATCTACAAAAACAACAAGGAGTCTGGTGGCACCTTAAAGACTAACAGATTTATTTGGGCATAAGCTTTCGTGAGTTGCATCCGAAGAAGTGAGGTTTTAACTCAC